CAGAGCTGTAGTAAAAATAACTTTGTATTGTCAAGTTGCGCGCTCCCCTGCTTTTGTACTCGTCCTCCTCTGAGTGCTGACAGGTCGCACTAATGGAGCTCCTGGAACAGCTCCAGACTTTTCACAAGCAGTTAAGAGAAAAAAAAAAAAGGCATAAAAATTCCCAGAGATATGATCCTCTGCTTGGGTCACTTGTGTCTGTCTAGTATGAGACAGATACTCTGACACTCGTGAGCCAGATATGGATAACTCTGAGTTTTTGTCACTATGGAATAAAAAAGTATTCATAGCTGCATTTTCGGCTAAGGCTCGTAATTGAAGACAAATAAGTATATATATATATCCATAGCAAAAATGTGGGGAAGGAGATGTTTACTTTGAAAACTATTTATTTGAGGGGAACATATGTGTAGACACGTGTTTGTACATGTGTACATATATACGCACACATCCAGGTTTCTTAGAACAGATTGTATCTTAGAAGATGAGTTGTGCCTCTCAGGGCAGGGTAATGAAGGATTTGTCGTCAGTCTTTCTAAGCTAGCACACCATGATTAGCTGCACCCGTACTGCTCGGAGAAGGCTGCTTAGCAGGAAGAGAGCAGCTGCTCTCTGGAGCAATGGCAAGTGCAGGGCGTGCTGCCCACAGCCTGTGGGAGCCCCCAAGGGAGGCCGTGCACGGTGCCCCACTGGGTGCTGACGCACTCGTTGTGCTCTCGAGTGCCGCCTTTGTGAGCGCTGGGCCCATGGTGTGCGCTGGTTAAGTCTGCTCTTGGCTCTGGCTTGAGGCCACACGCCAACGTGAACAGATGAAAATCAAATGAGTGCCAAATGTCTGTCAGCAGCAGGGTTAAAAAATAGGCCATGGCTCAGATTCTCAGATTCCAATTTAAAGGTCATATTAGTTAGAATATTTGCTTGGGAATGCGTAGATTTAGGAGGAAAAAAGAAAGCCTGCTGTGAGAAAAGCGTGTGGTGATGAGAGTGAAGGAACCTCAAGAGCAGAGTGTGTAAAGGAGAGCAACTGCTACAACTGTGGTCAGTTTGTTGGTGGCCACATGTGGGGAACGCCATCTGAAAGACGCATAGTGAATGAGATGCGGTGTAGGAAGATTTGGTGGGTTAAACCTGCCATAAGAGGCACTGAAAAGCCCCCATCTGTCTCTTGTGCCTTGGCAGCGCTGCCGTTCCTGCCTCCACAGCCCTTTCTCCTGGGCTTGAGCGTGACCTCCGGTCCCAGCTTGTGCCGTCAGCTCCTGTATCTCCAGTTCTGCTGTGAGGCAGTTTCTGCCTGTCAGGGATGACGAGGTCAGCGCTGTAGATCCTTCTCTCATCATTGCTCTGCCTGTTGCAAATCACCAACGGCTGTTGCAGCGACTTCTCAGATAGCCCCAGCTCTCCTCACAACACTTAGATTCTTCTCCTTTCCCCTATTTCTTTCTCTCTGGTTTGAAAAACTCGGTAGCGGAAGTAGGAAAGTTGTGAAGACAGAAGGCCAATTTTAGCCATGTACAAGCAAATGCAACTTCTGTTTCTTGGGCGTTATGTTTGCTAACTCCAGAGTGAGTTTAGCCTGTAACTGGTGCTATTGGAAACTGTTGCAGGCAGACTTCGCGTGTTTGCTTTCAAGACAGCTGTGATAATAGCAGCCTCAACAGTTGCTCTTTCTGGGTTTTCTTTACAAAAGCCTTTGCTGTATCCGTCAGGGAGATGAATTGGCTCCATACCAGGACAACAGAGTAGCATCCTAGACTGCTGTGGGCATTGAATCCACGGCGTCCTGGTGCTCTTCTGCAGCCCATTCAGTAGATCCAGTGCAGGGGCCCTGTCCATGTCCTGCTGCTCGGGCTCTCTCCCAGCTTATATAGCTGCTTGGGGACCTTGGCTGAGTGGTAGCAAAATATGTGGCTCACATATGCTGCAGCACAATTGCACCAGAATGCATTTCTGGACAACAACATTTTTTTGCAGAATAGAGGCTATGCAGAGTGAGCTCTTGAATAATGTCTCTTGTTAACTACTTACAGTGTTTCAACTCATGTATATGGAAAAGATGGTAGCCTTAAGTTCCTGTTCTTAAAGTCAAGCATGCTTTGTGGCCTTCCCAACACTCTTGCAGGAGCAGACTGTGAGGCAAACAGCCTGTTGCATGGCAGGGCATGGTGCTTAGCACTTGATCATGCCATTCATCTGCTCTGGGATAGTGAATTTCCTTGGGAAATGGACTGGAAGTCAGTCTTTTTCTTTTTGCAGTACTCTTCTGTCTTCTTGTTCCAGTATGAGTGAGTAAGATACCAAGTGCAGCATCTGTAAGGGGCTGCTGCCTCTGTGCAGAGAAGGTCCAGGTTCTCAAGGGCAGGGGCTCCTCTGGCATCACCAGGCTGCATCAGTCATCTCCCTTTTGCAGAGTTCAAAACCTCTCCATCTGGAAGAAAAAGTACTCAGGCGTATCTCTGTCATTTAAAGCACACTTTGATCCCTTCAGTGTTCTCTGTGCTGCAGGAAAAGGGCAAGCTGTGCCAACCTTTACAGTGCAGAATTTTATGGGGCAGGCAAATCCACTTGACTTTTAAGTGAGAGCACTACTTTTCCCTGGGCTGTCACGCAGGAGTTTAATATTCAGTGAGCCAAAATTACTGGATCTGGTTTTTAAGAGTCTGGCATCTATATTAGCAATCAAACCCACAAATTATGCCTTCTGATTGAACTCTGATGACCCAGAGCTTTGTGTAATGGAGACTGAAGCATGATAAAGAGTTCTGTTATGGCTTCATGTATTGATCAGTCTGGTTTAATTTTCTCATGGGACCTGTACCGCGCTAGGGATGATGGATTGTGCTGAAAGCCTGATAAGCCTGTTTTAGCACAATATCTCAGGACTCTTAAAACAGAGGCAATTATCAACACTGATGCATGTTTCTTTTTCCTGGTTTTGATTTGAATGGTAGGCAGTATTTCCTACATTGCATTTTTTTTGATAGGGGAAGTATAGATAGAATGATAGTTTCATTCCACTGTGCATGCCCACAGGAAACCTGCCCCCAAATTCTAGACTCTTGCACCTATAATTTTGGGTCAATTTTCCTAAAATGTCCAATATTTTTAACAAATCTTTTTAATGTAAATATTGTTGGCAAAATAGTCTCCTGTTGTAACTCTGGCAATCAGCATCTTTATTCACTATTGTATACCCTCTTTTCAGACTGTGTTTATTTTAGACTTTGAGGAAGTTCAGTGTTGCTTCAGACTTTTTTAGCTTTCCAATAAAAAATTTCAACACTTTAATCATGGCCTATTTGGTGCTATTTTGTGTTGCAGGTGTTAAATTCATGCCACTTTAATTGGCAAATGGAAGTATGTGAAGAAAACATGAGAGCAAATTGCTGTGTTAAAACTAATTATTTGAAAGCTGTGTTTAAAAATAACCATGTTATTATGTTAATGTTAATTATTATTATGTTAATGTTCTGTAAGTTTAGCACCTTACAGAATTGTTTTCTTAGGTAATAGAAAGAGTTGCTTTATGTTTTGTTTGTTCATTACAGAGCAATTTATACTATTTTGTGCCTTCTGGAGTCTTTTCCAGTTTCTTTTTCCTTTCACCCATATTCATCTCATTAAAGAGTGTAATTCTCCTTATTAATGCATGGATTAGAAGTCATTAGCAACACGTTCAGAGGAGTAACATTTGGGAAATACCTGTTTCTAGGCATAGATAAATGTGGAAGAGTGAGGTCTGAAAAAAATGGATAGGCAAGTGGATTGCACAAAATGTAATTCTACAACCATACTCTAAATTACGTAACCTACTCAAAATCCTGTGCTGCATATTTCATGCTTCATGAAAAGTGTCACCTTATCTGACTTTTTCTTGGTGCCTCAACTTCTAGGTTCATTCATCCACATGAGAATTACAGTTTTCATTATAAAAGGAAAATTTTTAGCACTGGTAATTATAACTTCAAAATGTGACCTGAATGTTTCTTAAAAGGTGAACATATATAAAAAGAAAAGTATTTTAGATCCCTCAATATCCTGAAACGGCCTTAAAGCCCTAACTTCTATCCCACCTTTGCTGGAATTTGCAGTGCTGGAAACCACATGAATATTTAATGGCAGCCGGCTGGCGCTGTTACTGCCCTCCAGTCTGCTGTTGGCTGACACTTCTCTCCTTCCAGCTTCCTACATTATGAGAAGGCAGCTGGCGTATTTTAAATTGCCTTCAGCAATGATTACTTCAGATTAATCACCTAATCTTGCAAACATTGGAGCACTGAAGGAACAATAATGATGTGAGAAATCCCATGAACTCATCTAATATTAAACATATTCTGAGTTCAGCACTGCAAGCATACTGATGAGACCTGATTCATTCTTACGTGATGGAGCCAACATGCCCTGGCTTTGATTTCAGAGGCCTGTAATCCTCACTAAAAGGATGCAATTCAAAGTGATAGTTTAAATGTCACAGAAAAGCAGGATTAGGTGAAGTTGCAGTGTACCAAGCCTTGATTTATTTCCTCTCTGCTTAATTTGGCTCTCAGCCCCTGTATACTTAACACTTTGATCCCACAGTGCAAATGAGTAGAGCCTGCTTCTTGGGTAGGGGGTGTAATTGAGATGGTATTTTTAAGTTCGTTATTACAATACACAGCATGTATAAGTTACAGAACAGAACTTTATACAGCTTTGAGGATGTACAATACTGAGGAAAAAATGAGAATTATGTGGTTCTAAAATTGGAGAAAGATAAGTAAACAGTATAACCCATGGGAATGTTCCTTGGTCGTGTTTTTCTGGAATATATGTTAAGTAGGATCTTAAACAGTGTGACAGTAACATTGTTTATTATTAATCTTAAATCATAATGATATGTCTAATTGATGCCATTCACTAGTTTTGATAGCTGAGACCCTAAAATGCGACTTTTTTATTTTCACTTTTTTCAATTTCTGTTATTTTAAACTATATTACTCACTGCTGTGTCCTTAAATTTCTAGGTGCCGAAGTGTTGTACATGAACATGTCAGCATATAATGAAGGCCGGCTTCAGTCGTCTTTCTGGATTGTTGATAAACAGCATGTGTACATTGGAAGTGCAAGCCTAGACTGGAGATCGTTGGGGCAGGTAATTTAACAGAAAAAGCACTCCTATAGAGAAAGGGGGTAGAGTGAGGAACAAAAGCTATTTCTAATAGCTTGCTGGTAGAAGGACTGTCATAGTTTTGATAGCTATTCTGCATTGACAAAAGAAAAAAAGTGTTATGTAGGTATTACTTCTTTTCTTCGGAATACCTATCCTCAGCAGTTACCTTTGGATTAAATGTTATATATATATATATGCTATTCTGTTGAGAAATTTTAGACAAATCAAATTGTACTAGAAATCACAGAGTTATTTTTAACTAGTCCTGCAGAACTTCACCTAGATAAAAATTTCTTTTGATTTTTCTGATGGTTTTGATAGGTGAAACTTGCAAGTTCTCACTTACTAGAAAGAATGATAGTCAGTGAAGCTGCTGGGAAACCCCACCGCTATGGAAGCTCTTTGGTAATATTGTGAGCATGACCTAGTTCTGTTCTTCCCTTTAATCCAATTGAGAGAAGCAACAGTGGAAATGATTTCCCAATGGAGATTGGGTCTTAACCAGGGACACTGTGGGGCAAACTGTTCTCATTAAACTTGAGGGAAGGATTTGTAGGCACAAAACTCTTGATGTTTGTAATGCACAGCAGAGTGGAAAAGAAAGTAGTTATTGGTTGCAATGAAAAATATACTTTGAAAGTGTGAGTAGAATCTGAGAAATACGTGAATAGTTTTGGTAATTTCCAGTGATTTCTGTAATGAAGAATATGTATGTTGGTTGTGCAGAAATTTTTAATGGTTATTTTGAGCTAAGGCTTTGAAGATAGGAATAAAATTAACTCAACCACTTTAGTGAAGAAGAAGGTAAAGTCCATTCATCTTTACTATTCCTATGTGTATTAATTTATTTAAAAAATAACTTTTTTATAGCAGCTATAATTTGAATATTTCCATAGGAATCTGGAAAACTGGTAGTAAACAGAATGTTTCTTGTGAACCAGAGGGAAACCAGAGGATGTTTTAGTCAGAATGAGAACATATTACTTGAGTATTTGAACTGTTTAGAAGATTAAAATCATATATGTTGTCCATGCCTCATGAGCTGAACAATGTTTCTTTGTCATAAACAAGAGAGCTCCTCACAAATGTATTTATCTTGTAAATAGTTAATGCTCTGTTTTAGATTTAAAGCCTCTTTTAATATGAGCTTTAAGCAATGATGATAACAGTAAGTGTGAAGAAAATAAGGGACTCTGCCGCACAGCTTAGTTGAAAATATTTTAATGATTTTGTTTGTGACCTCTCTCACAGAAAGGCTATAACATGAGTTTTTTTGTAGTAAGTAATTCTTGCTTCATATGGCATGCCTATATTAAGCCTTGTTCTATGACAGTTGTTTGCAGGTTATTGTTTCAAAAACAATTCATTGTTGTTAATCTTATTTGTTTGTCTTGTTTTCTGGGTGCATTTGGAGATTTTTTTTCCATCTTACTGTCTTGTAGCAGTAAATTTTAGTGCATAACGGGAAGATGAAGTCCAGAAGAGCATTTGTACAGAATAAAAAGAAATGTGTCCCGTGAGTTTCAATTAAAGAGAATATGCTCTCAATTAGTTGAGAAATATACTCTGGGATTTGAGAAGAGCCTGAAAAAAATTAGGTGCTTGGCTCCTTTTGACATCAGATTTGAGTATCCAATTCCCTTACTCCAGAGGTTTGGGTTAGTAAATCAGGGCAGCTGTCAAAATGCTCTCATACGCTGTCCTAATATAATCATCTCTCTTGAACTTTCCTTTTCGCATGAGAGGCAAATTACGCACAGAGCTCCGTCCTCTTGCCCCGAGTACTGTCCTCAGGGCTAAATGCTTTGGCAGACACAGAAGACCTAATCTTAAAACTCCCAGAGAGCCGAGTGCTCGCTGAGGAAACAGGGCAGCCCTGGCTCTCGCCGCGGGAGAAGGGAAGAGCTCCTGTGGGAAGATCTCTGCGGATGTGGCCCCACACTTCCCCATTACCTGCTGTCATTATCTGCGGGGCGAGGGACTCAGAGGTGACCGTACTGCCATGAGTCACATACAGTGCTTTAAAGACTTGCACGTCTTTGGAGTAACAGACCTGCGGTTACTGAATCACCGAGCCGATCGGGCCAGTTGTGGATCCTGGCAGCGAAGCAGAGGATAACGCGCTTTGACGCCGTTCTAGCAATGTGCCCTGTGTGCAGCCTGCCAGGCACAGCAGGGGCCTTCTTCCATCTCCCGCCAAGATGTCCAGGACGTGTTGGTGACCCTGGAGCTGTCAGTGTCCTAAGATCTGTCTGCACGTCCTGCTGCAAAGCTAATTACTTGAGCTCATCCAATCTCACTTTTGTGAACGAAAATACAATGAAAAGCTTAAGATCATAACTGTGCACTGTTACCATATCTTTTTTTCATGCCTCTCCCTCTGTTTCCTACATATGTATACAGCTTCTTCCGTACTGAGCCTTTGCATACCTTCAGGCACAGTTCATATAGGACCAGCTGCTTCTCTGCGGCAGCAGTCGCACTAGAAGCACGGTGGCTCTCCACGGTATTTCCAGTTTCCTTTTGAAGCTGTGCAAATAGAGTTAGCTGCTGCATTAGCTCTCCTTTCCTGGCTCATATAAATGCACCTGACCTTGTAGCAAGCAGCAGGCTGGAGCCACTTGCTAGAGCCAGGAGCTGCTGCTCTGTGTTCGTCCTGCTGCAGTCAAAACTGGGGTGAGCCCCCAGCAGATACTTTCACATATAGAAGCTGTATGGGTGGTAATCCCTTTCTGGATGGTGGTATTGATAAGTAATAGCAGCAGAACATAGCTTATTTTGTAACTGGGCCTTAACTGGTGACAGGTTTGTTCTAAGAGAAAATCTTTGTGGAAAAAATAGTGTGTACACAGAGCAACTATACACAGGACCAGTGGTGGGCTGGAGGTTGAGCATGCTCTGACGGCTTGTTCAAGTTTTGCTTTTCAGGTATACAAATCAAGTGAGAATAAAGATAGAGATTTTTCGTAATTATTTGTAAACTTATCTTAGACATATATATTCCTTCTCATAATGGTGTAGGATAAAGACTAAGAAGACTAAATATAGTATGTGTGTGCAAAAGATTTTGTGTAATTTGGGGGTGCTTTTGGCAGTTACCCTTTTTAAAATGACATTTGTTATAATCATATCTGCATATATAATATATTTCTTTCTCCAGGTAAAAGTACTGCTTGAGAAACTGTTTTTTTCTAACCATTTTCACCATTACCTAATTAATTATATACAGACTCTTTTACTACTGCACAACTCAAAACATTAATAAATTGCCATGCCTTTAACATGGAAGATACTGTTTTTTATTGCAGGGTTAAAGATAAGGGATTGTAGCAAAGGGAAACAGTTTTAGCCGTTTGTGCTTTTTACAAGAACAGAGGAGCTACCTGAAGGTCTGAACACCTCAGATGTGAGTTATACATTCATCAGAAAAAAAAACTGTTTCAGGAGGATTGCCAGATATGGCATAAAATGCCCGCATCTCCATTTCCCCTAGCAAATCTGTTTTGCCCTAGCCTGGAAGTCTCTAGATGAGCCTATCTGAATAGGTTTATATTCAAGTAAAAGTACTAGCTGAAGGTTGCACAGACAATCTCTGTCAGAGCTGGCACTGGAGCTGAACTCCTTTAGATTTCACTACCTCAGTTAAAAATAAATCAAAGAAAACCCCAGCAGTTCCAAGCTTTGCAAGGTTGAACAAGAAGTCCCTGTATGCTGCCAAATGCCCATCTTGCGCTATAATCCCAGAGCCCTTACCCTTCTCATCACTTAACTGCTAGGGCCTAAAGATGCAGAAATGCTCATGTGTGACAGCAAAGCTCAGGGTATTTAACATATAGCAGCTGAACATGGTATAGGAGATTTATACAAGTCTTCCGCTGTATAGATTTAACTGTATTTTATTGCTATTTTGTCCTTCTGCAGAAAAATATGAAAAAAAAAATGTTAGCGTCGTTCTTCTGTTGGGAGCCTGTGTCTAAAGCTGAAATAATATATAACTGCTTATAGCTTCACTGAAAACAGCATCAGGACATTACATATACCAGGGTATCAAATTTGTTTTTACAGTCTCTGAGGAGAATTAGTAAGCTGGATGCTAGAAGTCAATCTTGTATGAGGTTTACTGAGTTGTATTGGCCTTTTCTTTACTTGTCATCCCTGACAAGAAGTGATACTGGTATTTCCTTTAAAAGGGAACTTTAAATCTACTTTAAAAGTAGATTTTCTGCATCAAGAAGAGAGATTTTTGTATGCTGCGCATATTACTTAGGGAGTAACCTTTAAAGTTACATATATCCTTGCACTTTCATCATCAAAGTTTTAGTACTAGTCAAGAGTCTCAACTTCAAAATTATGCATGAGGCTGGTTGCATAGTCTATTAGTAAGTTTGTTTAGCACTTCTGATTGCAAAATTTATCTCAAGCTGTTGGCAGGTTTTCCAAAACACTGATTATTTTTACTGAAATGGTTTAGGCCAGTTGTCTGCTTTGGTCTGAAATCAAACCCTGCAGGTGAACGAAAGATATTGTTTAGCCTCTCTGAAAAACAGAATTAACAAAACATATCTTTTTCTTTTTATCCACAGTAAAGTATTTTGATAGTTTTTTTCAATGTGTCTAAACTTTGTGTCGGGTATAAGATTTTTTGTTGTTGTTTATTTGTTTTGGTTTTTTTCCCTGTTATTATAAACACATGTCAAACATTACATACTCTGGGAGAAATCATACTTCATGCACTCCGAGCAGGCAAATCTTACAATTTAGCAGCAGGGCTTCAGAGAGTCCTTTCCTGCCTGTGGTTCTGCGTTTCCCACTGGTAAAGGCTTGTTAAAGCAAGAGGCTAGAGAATAACTTACGGGAAGGTGCCAAGAGGATGGGGCCAGATTGTTTTCAGTGGTGACCAGCAACAATAGGCAGTGGGGAAATTCTGACGGAATTTGAGGAAAAACTTCTTGACTGTGAGGGTGACAGAGCACTGGAACAGG